TTGGACTGTATAAATATGACTTACACTTCCGCTTATCTTTTGATGACGTGTGATGATGTTTTTTTTATATCTTTTGACGTACGCTTTTGACAAACTCATCACTTTTACGAACTTTTAAAAAAATAAAGTTTTCAGTAACCGGACGTTTTTATTTAATTAAAACAACGGTTTTCTAAGTCAAGTAACGATTTTTCACGGTATCACCCCGAAACATTTTTCGCAAAGTAAAAAGATTTATTTTTCAAAGACTTTGCGAATTATTGCGCTACTCTGATTTTTTAGTAAGGTGGGGTGTTACACCCTTCATTGAGATGTTCTACCTCTTGTTGCATCCGCCCTCCCGTGACAAACTTTTTTCTTGGACTCACTCCGGACCAGGATAAGTTATTTTTGTGTTACTGGCAGTTGTTGCTAGCTTTTTCTTGTTTTCTTGTCGTTTCTAGTTTTGCTGTTTGTTTGACGTAATGTATTTCAGACATTGAATTTGCAGATTTGTGACATTTTAACCCATTTAGAGCCTTTATATATACAAGTTGGGGTTCGGCCTAACCCCCCACCTACAAGGTGTTTTTTTTTAAATCTTATTTTTTATATTAATTAGGAAGATGCTATGGTCCCGTTATGGAATCATTCCGTCGAAGTTTGTAAACGTTAGATCAACTATCTCTGATGGTTACATGATGATCTAACCGTTACTAATCTCAACGGACTGATTCCGTAACGAGACCTTAACATTTCTCTATTAATCTCTTAATACTTTCCACAATAATATATTTATAACAATATAAAAGTGAAGAGATAGAACCGCTTTTCATAGTGAATTACTAACAAAAACTGATACAAGAGATAAGTTCAAACCGCGTCGCCTAGTACATTAATATCGAGTATTTTACATATGTGTATGTGCTGATTTAATTTGTCGCTCCAACCTCCAACCTCATCCTTTAATCCCGAAAGAAAGAAGAAAAATAAAATAAATTTAAAAATGCACCAAAGTCCTCATTTTCACACCTCTATAAAAATTCTCTCCAAACTAGCACCTTAAGAAGCAGTGTTCCATCCTTCTTGGACAAAAATATCAGCATAATTAATCACATTACATGGAGTCCGGAAACAAGAACAGTGGCAACGTGGAGAGCGGTGTGGTGGTGGCTAATAAGAGAAAACTGAGGGGCTCCGATGTAATTTTGCGTTTCTTGGCGCTTGCACTCAGCCTGGCCGCGGCAGTGGTTCTGGGCGTCGATAAAGAGACGACCACGGTGGCCATGACGCTCGTCCCCACGCTGCCGGCAGTCAACGTGCCGGTCACCGCAAAGTGGCACTACTTGTCTGCCTTTGTGTAAGTATATATACTTAAGCTTAACTCTTTTCATAATCATGTTATTGATTATTATTTGCACGTGCAACAACAGATTGTACTTGGCTTTTTTTTTTTTAAC